AATGCAGCCATGAGGGCAATTTTGGATGCCCCAAAGATGGCACATGTTACACCTTTGCTGCGGGAGCTGCACCGGTTTCTGGTTTGTTTCTGGGTCCAATTCAAGGTGTTGGCTATCACCTTTAAAGCCCTACGTGGCATGGGTCCAGACTACCTGAGGGACTGTCTCACCTCCATTACATTGACTCATCCCACCCGGTCTGGCAGAGAAGGCATGTTGCGGATCCTGTTGACTGGCAGATCCTAGGAGGAGAGAATGTCAACTGGCAGGTCCTAGGAGGAGAGCCTTCTCTGCCATTGCCCCTGCCCTATGGAATACTCTCCCCCCAGACCCTCCCAATTTTTCAGAGGGAATTGAAGACTTGGCTCTGTCAACTTGCCTGGGGCGAGGAAAGATTCGATCGACCCTGAGGATGGCTGGCACCTTGACAATGTGCCCTGAGCTTATTAACATCTAATTAATATCTGCCTCTTGGATTTATTATAAAGGAAGTGTGTTCTGAACATATTGTAATTAATTAATATTTATCTATTTTAATCAACATTTATTCTATTTTTACTGTAAACCGCCCATCTCACCTCACAGTGAGATAGGCGGTGACAAATTTGAAATATAAATAAATAAATAAATCATATCAGAGTTTTTTCAACAGCCCCCATGGAGGTCTAGATTAGTATAATGATTCTGTGTAAGAACTGTCATATCTTAAGCTTACTCAAATACTTCAGAAATCACTCAGACTATCAGTAAAATGCATGAATATTTAGATCCTAATTTCATTTTTGGATCTTGAACTCTTATAGCTATTTGCTAATATATAAGAGCTTCCCCACCATTTGAATTCATTCAAGGCTGTGTTGGTCTTGAACTATGGGTCATTATGCTTTTCTTCTGCAGCATTATTTCTTCCTCCAATTATTACATATTTGTAAAGAATTTCATATAGATTAAAAATATATATCAACTAGCTTGGTTCAGATGATGCAGTATAGAAATCATGGATAGCTCACCCATAATTTGTAAGTCATACTTACCTTTAGGAAGAATCAGTGGGTATGAACATGCTTGTTCACAGCTAAGTCATAATATAGCTTAGCATGATGTAAGAATGCAATCAACAAGCTGTATCCTATATCCAAAGGTGGAATAGCATCTGCCAATGGAACAGATTTCTTCTTCCACCTCCATCACCACCCAAATATCTTGGAAGCTGTTTAGTAAAATGAGGTATGCAAGTGCAGGAGAAAGTCCTGTTTCATGAACCAAAGTAGATGAACACATGTAGCCTAAAGGAAGCTTAACACTGCACTGGGTTTCAGATATTCTTGTGTTCACTGAAACATTCATGAGTGAACCATGGTGGAATGCATATTGTATATGTAGGACTAGGTGAACATGAGTATAAAAGTGGTATATTATTATAACATACAGTATAACAATGAATGCATTTATTTAGATAGAGTTTCATATGGCTGAAAATTTGTACCATATTGGCCTACATGGGCCAATCTTCCAAAGGGAAGATTCTGTGCCAGAAGTAAGAGCACTAGATTTCTTTGGTACTCACGTATGAAAAGTTTACAAATGGCAATAGCATGTGAAGCAACTTCTGTTCTCAGGCAACTTTAAATACTCTCAGTGGTCACACTGTCAACCGTGAAAAGGGTATGCTGACATTAGGGAATGAACTCAAGAAAAAAAAGATCATGCAATAGGAACTCTAAGTAAAAGGTGTAGGAAAATATGGAGACTTTTCATTCAATTTCATTGCAGTTCAAGGCCGTAGACAAATTCTAGGCATTCTAAGCCTAACGCAAGTGTAAATTCCCTTGTGTTCAGTGTTTCAGATATGTATATTCATAGGACTGGAACTAGAGAAAGGCAAGCAGAGAAAAACAACAACAAACGTAGATGTATAGAGTAAACTGGAAGGATTGGCGAGATTCTTAATAAACAGAGTGTTCCACTAAAAGGTGCAAAAATGTTCTTTTTTCAAATTGTTTATATGCCTGCTGTTCTATTCTGTGCTTGACAAGGCACTTAATTAAATAAATCAAGTTCCTACTTCTAAGGCATCACCTTCTTGCATAGATTTAAAAAAAAAAAAAGCTGTTGTGATTAATCTATTCTAATTTTACATGTTTCTCTCCCTTGCATGGTCCTTCTATATTCAGACATTTTACAGAGATCATAGTCCATACTTCATAAAGTTTTTATGGCCTACTGTGCGCAAACGAGGAATATAAGTAACCCTAGGTCTCAGGCCAGCCATGTTAATGACCAATTCAGTCACTGAGTCAAATATCATAACTTTTCATTACCACACCGAAACAAAGCATTTGAGACAGGGAAAGCTTATGATGAACTGGATGCAAGCCTTATTGAGGCTTATTAGAAATGGCTCCAACAGGATGAAAACACAATCCTTGTAGAACAGAAACAGCCAAACCAGCAACAACTCTAATGACATACTGAGGCCCTCATAGATATGAGATCAGAAGCAAAGAGCTTCTTTTAGTTTTTCCTATTATTTTTAATTTCCAGATGGGTATTGTTCTCTCTGACAGGTATCAGTCTTATTCATTAGGCTTACTTTTGTGGTGTAATTATGGGTGTGCTTTTAATTGCACCAAGCTTAGAGTTGAAAGAGCATACAGGGCGTTGAGCTGCAAAGAACACTACCTGAAAGAAAGTAAAATCTCTGCTGGATACCAGCAAGTTCCCTTTCCAAAGCAATCTTCTGAAGACCCCCTAAGCAGATACATTCGAGAAGATTAGCCACATTATTAGTCAGCAACAGAAGTATTACAGCATTTACCCAACAACCAATTTCTTACTGTGACAAGATCTTAATCACAAGGTTGCTCTCCATTCAGTTTAAGCTTTCTGGACAATGCTGGGGTCAAAGCTTGAGCCTTGTTTGCAAATTCAAGAGATTAAGGATAGTTAAGTGATTTAAGGCCCCATTCGCCTATGTCTGGGGTGATAATGCTTTCTCCAAATTTTCTTCAAGCAGAATGTTAGTTTTAAAAGAACTTCTGCCTCAGATATCCTCTAGAGCAGTACTGACTGTAGCTGAGCTGGATTTTTGTCTCAAAAAAAGACAAGTGGAAAAGTGAGATGGATCTTCCTCCAAGATCCAGGTCTTACATATGTTCCAAAGAAGGCACTTCTGTAGCATAACAAAACAAAAATGCTCAACCCGCAACATGTTAATGGATCAGGAAACTCCTGCAGTAGGGTGGACATAAGGAATGCAGATTTGAAGCATGAGAGGGGAGAGGCAAGTACATCTGCAGACTTAGGTCATACTCATTTATATTTTCTCTTTATTTTATCCCAAGGGTAGGTGGTGATAAATCCACAATATGGCTCAACTTCAGACCAAAGAAGTTAAAATGAAGAACACACAGACAAAATCTGTCCTACTTCCTTTGTATTACTTAATCTTAAGCAGCTATTCTTACTGCAGTTGATGAAACCACCAATAGGATCTATAGTTCTTAGTGATTAAATCTGAATTAAAAAGATGGGAAATTCCATTTCTTAACTACACTAAGTGCAAGTACCAAAGGGCAAGGTGCAAATAATATTAATTGGCAGTGGAAAATAGGAGCCTATTAGATCCAATATCTAGCATGTCGTCTTTATATAGTGTAGGCTTCTTCAAGTAATGCTCCACCCAAATGGCCATTCTCATTGGGAATTCTGGAAGTTATGGCCCCAGAGGTCATTTGATTAGAGGAGGCTGCTCCACACGTTCATTTGCTTGTCTCAACAAGGGATGTGTTTAAAATAGTTTATGCAATACTACCACTTGGACATCACTCAGGAAGCTTAAGGACAGTATATAACAGTTTATGCCAAGACAGCAAATCATCGAGTTTAAAGCCTATCCTTTACCCCTTACTGTTTGTGTTACCTACACAGTGCTTTTGGAGAAGCTGATATTAAAGGAATTGCAGTCCTTTCAGTGTTTCTTAAACTTTTTTCTCTCAGGAGTCCTTCCCTCTTTTAAAAATTATGGAGGACCCCAAAAGAGCTTTTGTTTGTATGGGTTATATTTCTCAATGTTTACTGCATGAAAAATTAAAATTGATGCATTCTCTGCCACTATTGGTTCTCACAATTGTTTGATAGGATTTTAACACTGTATTATTTTTCAACATACACTGGCAAATAAATTTGATTCTGCAGACCCCTGAGAGAGGCTTGGGGGACCTCCAAGGATCCTAGGACCACACTTTAAGAAACACTGCTATACATGTTTAGAAGCCCGTTTCTATAGATTATTTATGGTTACACATGTTTTAAGAAGGAATCATGGCACTGAAACCATATCTGACGAAATCAAGCCTTCCAACAAAATTGCAGTATTTGTCCGCACGGGTAGAAAGTGACTTGCCTAAGGCCCAGAAAACTTGTGGCCTCTAAAGTCAGCTGTGTCTATCATCACCCCATAGATCAGCTTTCTGCAACCTGGTATCTTCCCGATTTGTTGCACTAAATTACCTGGGAAAGGCTCTGCTATAAATGGGGAGGTATCAAGGCACACAGCAAGTTTTTGTAAGTTGCCTTACAAAACCAGACTACTGTGGTTAACACTGAGTCCCAGCAGCAGTCAGGGAATCAGGCAGCGTTTTCCCCAACCCTACCCAGAGACGTGGATCTTCTCCACGCAAAATGTTCTACCACTGCGCTTCAGCACCTTCCCGCAAGTCCTTGCAAAGCCCGGGTAGCCTTCTGATGCCAACCATACAGGGGGACCAACCGTCCAAGAGTCCCTAAGCAAAGTCGGCCGATTCCGCGTCATTTTCAACAGCCATCTTTCCTTCCCTGACTTCAGAGAAGTCCGCGGTGCCAGCTCATCCTCGCAGTCGCCCTGCGAAGTGGGTTACTCGGGCAACCCTCATCGGAACCCGGCTAGATGCCCCCTTCGAGTCCAAGAGCTCTCCTTCATCGGAGCTGAGCCGTCCTCCGAAAGCGCGCCGCCGCCTTACCAGGGAGAGGACTTTGTAAGAGGGATCCTTGTTTTTCCCTTTGAGCGCCGCCGCTTTCTCCGGCTCCTCCGACACCTCCAGAGCCGGCAGCATGGGCACCGCAGCTGAACTCTGCGGCTCTGCCCCAAAGCTTTTCCCTTGGCCGTTAGCAGCGCCGTCGCTCGCCATCGTCCCCGCGCGGCTCGGCTTGATTTGACTGGACCTGCGCCTGCTGCAGCCTCCGTTAATAAGCTGCCGTGATCCCACCTCTTCTGCTCCGGGCTCCCCTCAGGCTCCGGATCCTTTGGTTTCCCGCCCCGGTCCCGC